GCAGCTTCTCTGTGCCGAGGGCGCCTCACCTGTAACTAGGGCATGATAATGTCCTTCCCTCCGGGAGTTTCTTGTGAAGATTAAATTCCTTGGTAAATGTGAAGTACTTAGAACATTGCCTGGCTCAGGACCAGTGCTATATAAAAAAAAAAGCTGTGTTGCCATTGTTACTGAGAGACCACCAAGGGAGGGTCGGGAGCCCTGGAAGTCGCTGGTCTAGGTGCTCACTCCTGTGCACCAACAACAGGAGGACCTACAGGCCACGGCTCAAACAGCCCACACTTCTCCAGGGACAGTCTGGGTGTGCCCCCTTCCTGCATGAAGAAACCGCAGCAGTACCGTGAAATTACCTCTTCATCTTTCTGATGACCTGTAGCCTTAAGTCCATACTGGGAATACTGGATCTCTTAGACAAGACATTCTTACTGTCTTGGAAGCCAAACCCCACTGAAGTCTGCCGACCCAGCTCTGTGTTGTAATCGCCACCGTGGCTGCTTGTGGCTCTTCTGACGTTTTGTAATCAATCTTCTCCAAGGCGAGGAGGCAGTCCAGGATTAACACACAGAAAAGGAACTACCCTCTCAGAGGACCACCCCACCCCCCGCCACCACACACGGTGCGGGCACACACATACCCCACAGTGAGTCATTGTTTTGGAGCTGAAAAGAAAAGTCATCTCTCCTTTAATCTTTATTTCTCCAACTACAGTTACCACTGCTTTTATCACAAGCCAAGTTTAAGACTTCCTACTTAAAAATAAATAATCAACCTGGCTTTCAAAGTCAGCCACATATTCATGAACCTTCTGGAAAAGCTCACCTGGGCTTTGAGTTTTAGCCAATCAAAGAAAACTTAGCTTTTCTTCTAACCCTAAAGGGTTGCCTTTCTTGGGCAAGAAATACTTCTGTCCAAAGAGAATGCTACTAAATCGTAATATCTTAGAGCAAAAACCAGATTTAACTGCTGAAAGGCCCTTACCTTGGGGAACTTCTAACCCAGTAGCTCACATCAGAATCCCAGGAGGGCTTGTTAAGGCACAGATGGTTGGTCTCCATCCCCAGAGTTTCTGACTGTGTAGGTCTGGGATGGAACCCTTAGAATTTGCATTTCTAACAAGTTCCCAGGTGATGCTAATGCAGCTGGATTAGCAACCACATATTGAAAACCTCTGTTCTAGCCCATCCCCTTCATTTCACACAGGACCAAACTGAGGCCCCTAGAAACTATGACTCACCCAAGACCCCTGTGAGTTGATAGCAAAGCTGAGGTGAATGACCCAGAGCCATTAAAATTTGTATCAAAGCTGGGCCGGCCCGGTGGCGCACTGCTACAGTGCGCCGCTTGAGAGCGTGGCGGCGCTCCCGCCAAGGGGTCGGATCCCACAT